GAAAATATATTCCCGCTATTCTATTTATAGACACAGCTAATAGCAAAAATATTATAACTTTACGATAAAATGATACCTGTCGAATTGCACATCGTTTGTTCATTTTCTGTATTATTCAACAAAATGATTCGATCATTTAATTCGTTTATCGAATTAAAAGAGCGTTCAAATTCATCGAAGTCAAGAATCTGCGCATCGAGATTTGATATGTTAGCACCGTTGCTATTCGGGTAATCATGCAACAGGTGTTCGTTTTGATCGAATTCCACCGTTTCCATCCAAACTACATCGTTTGTTTCAAAAATCGTTGTTGTATATTCTAACTCATCTGACGATGAAAATCGGATTGCATTGTTTGTTGGTTCATATTCTTCTAATTCAATTGAATTATTTTCCGCCAATATATACAAAATTTGTAAGGTGCAAATTAAGAATCGCAATTGTTTTCTCAATATCATGTTCCTTAGAAAACTGAAAATAAAAATAAAAATGTTGACAACCTAATATTTTTATATTAAACATGTATCGTATTTAAAAATTACGAAAAAAGTATATCGCATAAAAACGGTCATTATAATGACATATGAAAATTTTAATTAGCGCAAACCAAGTTGGTGGTGATAATTCAATGTATTTTACAAAGAATTAATTTTTACCGCTTATTTGAACAAGTTTCATTTTTTCTCGCCGCTACGAAATTCTTTTGAAAATTGTTCACTAATTTAATATAAAAATTCTGAATGAGAATCTCGATAGAATTAATTGAACAAGTTACAATCGCTACGGAAGATACGTTAATGCTTTCACAATTTCAAATAATACAGTTGAAATTTAAAAATTTATTGCAGCAAGATAATTAAAAAATTTTTTACTTACTTTCCGAGGCGATTGTACATTCTGTCTTCTTCGATTTTACAACATTTTTTTGAATGGTCGAAAATTGCAACGTGTATACGTTTAATACTTGAGCACTATCGATATTGGTAATAGAACAGGTTTCCGTTATTTGAAGTCGTTTGCACTGTACAATAGATCGTAAGATCGTTACAAGAAAGACAGAATTTTTTGTTCGTCGGATGATTTCGTAAGCATGATTGATATGTCATTACCATGTCAATCATAATTCCATCGAGAATATTTTGTTACGGGTCATTGTTACAGACTGTATGCTCCTGTATCACCTAATTTTAACGAACAGAAACAATGTTTCATTTTTGTTCATTTTTGTTCACTAACACATTATAACGATATTCTACACCGTTAAAGAAGACAATGTTGAAAACGTAGTACGTTCCCGTTTCTTCGATAATCATTGACTGACCACTTACTGACAGCTTTAGATTTATCCCCCTCCGGTCATTGATATCGCTGATAAGAATCTTTAGTTCATTGTACTTATCCTCGCGAGTGCACTCTGCGCACTACTTTATTAAACAAACACGACCATAATGTTTACTATTTACAGTTTCAACACTCCTTTCTAGCCTCGTATACTTTTTAATTCTATTTTTTTATTCGTTTGTTTACAAGATCTTCGGAACAATCGGTTACCATAGACAACTCAAGGAAATTGATAAACACATTTGTATTACACAGGTAGATGTTATCGTATATATGTTTACTACACATGTTTTGTATCTCTAATAATGATGACAAATAGTCTTGATATTGCATTGAAATCGCATATTGTAAATATAGTGTTACAGTTCCAATTTTATATGCATATACAATGAATAGATAAGTTATCATACTATAGATAAAAGTATGGATTTATATATATATATATATATATATATATATATATATATATATTTCTTTTTTTTTAATTTACGAAGTATTAACTATGATGTTTTTTAATGTTATTCAGATTACAATTTGGATTTGATAGGACACCATAATATTTATACCTGCTTACTTTTTTAAACAAGAATTTCCCGTGGTGCACGTTTCGCGATTGAGATTAGATCGTTGATAAAGTAACTACACTTTGTAACTGTCAATTTTACGGCATCAGAATCGCATCACGTTTGATCGTAAAACAGAACTAGAAAGGAATATATTCAGTTCTACAGTCGCATCGGAAGCTGCTTATGAAGCGAAATTGGAAACCATGTGTTCTTCGAAGGTGGAGTGTTCAAAATTACCCCCACAAAAGTAGTCAAAAATAGAATCTGTATGATATCCTATTGCACGATTCAAGAGTACTTTTACTAGAGTATATCTTCTAAATTTTTAAGATGATTCTTTTGTATTATATTGAAATATGTATGCGGTATTTTGAAATAAACTTTTACGATTGTTGCATTCATTAGAGTATATCAAATAAAAAGATTGTTGTTACAATATATTAATTTTATTATCCTTATTTTAAGAAAATATACAAGGTAATAGGAACTATGAGTTAATGTTCTCCTTTCAGAGTTTTTACATTAGCATTTATATTATAAATGTGTACGCATATACTTAATATTTTCATGTATATTAATTTTTTTCCAATAACTTAAAAACATATCAGGATGTCCGATACAATAAATATACAACGTCATTATTTTGTTTGCTTTATTTGTTTAAAAGAATTCAAAAACTTTCGTACTAAATAAATTAGTACAGTCTTTGAGGTGGTCCCATGGAAGACTTTATATGAAGAGAACGTACATTTTGCCAATGTTTCTTCAATAATGAAACCAAGAAGTTAATTGAAAGATGTACATTTTGCACCAGTTCATCTGGAGTCATTCCCACGTGCCCAACAGCAACCGACAAACACAATACCTGTAAACAAATTAAAAAATTATATTAAACCAATGAACATATTGCTTATAATTTTGTTAAAATATTCGTATATTATAAATAGTATTTAATTTGTATATTCTACTAGAATATATACCTTCTTCATCTGGAATTTGATCGTTGCTTTAACTTCGTCAATTTTTCCCACCATTGATTCTTGATGAGAAAGAAGACCAGGGAATTTACCAGCCTTATTAAGACCAGGACCAAGAATACGAGGAATTTGCTTAATTAACGATTCACTAGCCAGAAAAGCATCATATTTCTTAGCTGCAAAAATAGTGCAAATTTATCAAATATCATCATATATTGAATATAAGTACATTCTGAATTTAAAATAAATATTTGTCTCAACACGGATTGAGGTACGTAGCAACAATACACAACGCCCTCACCAAGTGAAGAATTTAATCTTCTTCCAGTAGACGACCATAGCTACAAAATTATGACCTAACTATGGTGCTTTTTGGAAGACAAGAATATCAATATATTGTATAGTATTCTACACAATAATCAGTTAATATTCAGTGAATACAGATGAATGAATTACCTAGTTTCTTTACAAGTTTCTTATTTTTGTTTAATTTCTTTAGTGCTTCAGCATCCATGTATGGAATATTGTTAGCTTTAGCTTCATCGCAATGTTGCTGGTCACCCAAAACACAAACTTGCATTTTTGGTCTTGGGATGTTCTTTAACCTTTAATGAAAAATAAATTAAGTGGTCAATTTACAAATTTTTTACAATCGTTTTTATATTTAGAATATATAAATCTTTTGAAACATTTCATAAATAAACATTTGTATATTTTATATAGAAACGTGGTATTGTAAGAACACACTTTTTTAAAATTTAATAGACAAGTTGAATTCCTTTTATAGATTTTGTATAATTTGATATAGTTAAATTCTGATATTTCTCTTTCGTAATAATAGATACTTCGAAGTAGTAACTTATTTTATATTAGTAAAGATATATTAAATATATCGAGGAAGACTATCGCTAAACTGTATTATCTTTGAATTTCAAAAAAGTTTTAAATGGACTTATCTATCAAAATCAATGTTCTCAGTTACATTTAAGTGGTCCACATAACTGAGTCAGATAATACATGCAAAATAAATTAGCATCACTGAACATTGATTCGTATACTTGAATCGGTGAAATATTCAAGGTATTATATATTAACTTACCAGCAGGATCATAATTCATGATCCTGTAATTAAAATAACGGTACAAAACCTCCCCAATTTATTTAAGACCCTGGGTGAAGGTCCGCCAGGTAAAACCCAGCTCCCTGACTACGCATGAGGCAATCTTTTCGGGTTGTTAATTTTAAAAAACGATTTACTAGTGATCATTAAAAGCCGAAAAGAATCCTCAATGTCAGGTAGAAACATACTTGACGGTGCCTGAGAAACGTTTGTCCTTCATTGGATCATAATTCTTCAAACCAATTTGGAGTTCAACTGTTTCCGAAAATTTCCTTTTCTTTTCTTGCGAAGTTTGAATTACGGTATTCACGCACTCATAGAGAGTATCACGCGATACCTTGGACCTATGGATTAAAATACACGTGGTTAAATGAAATCACAATTAATACAAACGCTAAGATTTAAGCTTAATCCAATAAAATTTTTAATTCATGATATATATTTCTACTTTATTTACACATAGTTTATAATAATATAGAAATGAGTACAGAACATGTGATCAGGAAATGCTAGATAATACCAAAAGCATGGTTATAAATACTTGAACATTAAAAATTATATTAATTTCCAATAAATATTAATCATTATGTTTTCAATATAAACGAAAACAAATTTTCTGAACTATGAAAATTATTTATATCTTTGGATTGTTAAGATACAAAGAGATTCGATACTTACGACATTTTCACAGTAAATAGGATAGGAGCGACTGCAGAAATGAACCTACTCGTTGCCCAACTGAAACCGGAAAGGAAAGTGAAACGTTGGCTTGGGCTTAGGCAGTGGCTGATCGAAAATTGCGCATTTGTAGATAGGGAAACGTGTAGTTAAGTTTGGACCTCCAATCACATTTGTGCGTCGGAACAAGTGGCGCCCTACAATTAAATTTTTTACATTGAATTTACTATTTTTACATATGTTTATTATTACATGATTTAGTGTAATATAACTAAACTAATGAGAGCGAAACTTTAATCATTTGCAACTATTTTATTGCATACATATACGCTATAGCATAAGGCACTAAATTCCCTAGCGAGGATATAAAGGTAGAGAACACAGTTACCGACACAATGAGACGAAACACGAATTACACTGGTGCTTATAAGATGGCGCCAAAGTAGAACTGTCAACATAGAGTCGGAGATTCCAATAGATTGTGAATCCTAAAAACTAAATTATATATATAATATTTTCAAACTAAATTTTTTGTAGTAACTATTTGTGGCACATTAGGGTGATGCTCGTATCATCACCGATCATTGCTTTATTTTTGCAACGATGAAGCAGCGATGAAACAACAATATCGTGAACTAATGTAGAAGAAATATAAGAAACACAATTAAAATACTATAAATTAATTATCAATAAACGTAGCATATAATAACACCATCGACGATTAGAAAATATCGATATCAAAAAGAATTCAAAACTTGCAGCTATTAGCTCGGTATTATCCTCGACTCAAAATGCATTGCAAATCGCAACATTTTCTGAATCGTGAATGATACCGATTGCCCGGGTCTCACCGCGAGGAGGTTGCTGCTTTTTTTAATAAAGTTACGTTTAATTGTTACACATTCCACGTGTGTGTGTGTTTAACCCCAACGGTAGTGACTGTCGCTAGAGGGAAATCGCAATAGGGAGATTCAAAAATAAAACTCGCAACCGCTAAAATAACAGTCTAGAATTTCTTTATGACCAATTTATGTATAGTTTGCTTAGCCGTTATACTCTCAGTTTTGTTTCTACATAAAGCGATAACGATCAAAATGAAAAAATTTAGTCCACTTTGTTGTCGTCGTATCTTTTTGTTATAAATTTCAATTACTTACTGGATAGACGAATCTCATCTGTTGAAAGTTGGAAAAAATAATAATGCTCATTTTTCAATTATTCTTTTCGTTTATTGAGGTCTAAATGTCTTTCAATATAGGTAATTCTCTTTTTACAATTTTCAACTACACCGTCGTTCGCATCTTCGTTTACCATCGATGTACCGTGTTCAACGACTGTTATCGTGCATGGCAATTTACTCGAGTCTGCGTAAACACGATGCTATGAAAAAGTGAAAAAAAAGAAAAGGGTGGCGTTTCGTTCGATACGGTCACTCGTTTCATAGAGACATAATAATGAATACGAAATAACGAAATAACGCGAATACACGCGTCTATTTACCTTTGCTAAGATTTATTTCGGCGAATTCGCCGGTAATTCAACGAAAATAAATACACACATGCGCGCATGTATTTCTAGCATTAAGGGATTCGAAATGAAATTGTGTGTTGACAGAGTTAGAAATTGTGTTGGAACGGAGAGAGAAAAGTTGCTCGGTGTATATACGGAATGTTTACGTATTTGGTAATTACAACGAATCATGTCGCTTACATGAAACGGCATAAGAAACGCAATTCCTCAAATTTGTTTACGATATATTTGCTTTTTCTAACTATCGTTTGTTACTCTATACTGGCACCGAAGGTCCTTTAGGTTTGATCATCATCGTGGCCCGTTTCAACGTATAATCCCAACCTCTCCAACGAAACCACACGATACCTGATTCAATAAACAAGGAGAATGCTTTTATTACTAACAATGTAACAAGGAACTTCGAAGAAAATGTCAGGAAGGAATAAATAATGAAAAGATCAAATTTGCGACTACGCTGCCGCAGACGAAACATCTGAAGCGAACGAGAAATAGCAATATAGCAATGGGGGACGCGTGATTTTTCTTTGAATTATCAAGTACAATAGCTTCGAATATAGCGTTGCGAACTAATCGCATTTCAACTTTGCAATTCTATCAGACTTTTCTAGATCTACAGACTCGTTCTTTCCAGAAAGTAAAGTAAAATCTGTTGAGGTGCGTCGTGTGAGCACCTGATATCGTTATTCCGCGATATTAACACTTTACCGACCGCTAGCGTTTCAACAGCATACGCACGTCCGACCGGCCGCTCAGCCACGGATTCGCTCTCGCGCCGGCTCTGTTCTGGTTTAGTGTCACGCGGGGGTGTCTGTGCGTGTAGTGTTTAAATAAAATTGTCTGCTTTCTGTTATTATAGGAAAAGTATATTTAATAAAATCTTCTATTGTAATAATATTAACGGTAAATTATACTTATTTTATGTATCACAGTCGTTACTACACATAGGAAATAGTTAATATTTTTTTAAAGTATGATATCGTTCATAACAGTCGCCTTTATGTAATGGAACTTCGCAATATTTACAAACAAAACATGTTCTACTTCTTTTTTTATGAGCTGCACAAACTCTACATTGTCTTTGGGGTTTTACACTTCGACCACTTGTCACTATATTTATAAGTTTGTGTTTCCCCAAATTCGATAGTCTGCCAGGATGGTCTAACATGGGTGCTCTCCTTGTAAGTTCAAGACTGGGCAGGTTGTCATCGTGTTCCGTACAATTATCTTCCGTTTCATTATCTTCCGTCCACGCAATTGCCACTTTGTGCAAGAAATTCTTATATGTAATATTTTTTCTATTTAGCACTGTGTATGCTTTGAATGAATTGAATAGTGCACAATTGATGAAAAACATTACAACGCGTTTTGTCCATTTTTTTGTTTTGCGGAAAATGGAATAATATGAGAGATATTGGTCCGCGCGATCTACG